AGAAACAAGGGCAATAATAGTTTTATGTTACTTATTTGGGATAGCATTTTGAAAAAGCAGTGGAAGGGTCGGGGATTTAGCTCAGTGGTTCCGCTGCCTGCCTCATAAGCACAAGGTCTTGAGTTCGATCCCTGCTACCAAAAAGAAAAAAAAAACAGTCGAAAAAGAGAAAATTGTTGGCAAGAAGGAGAAAGTAATGTGAAAAGAGGAAAAATATCTAAGAGTTCTCATAAGCTTGCTGGCTTTTGGTGTTCTGAGTGACTTAGCCTTCAGATCTCAGAGGGCCTAGACCGTAGATACTCTTAAAGTAGAGAAAATATTGGCTGAGAGTCAGCATTATAAAGAAAAGTTAAAAATCCCACATACTGAGCCATTATGAACAAAATGCTTAAATCAGTACTTCTAAAAACTATGTATAGTGCCAAGTATTTGTGGTTTTTTTACTCTTGGATACCACATAGAATTTGTAACATATGCATTTATTTTTCAACTTTTTCTTCAGCCTATTGACAAAATCAACTCGGTTACTAGCTTTTTACAGAATTTGATCTAATCTTTCAGTGTCTAACTGTATCGCATTTCCAAGACCACTGAGAGCCTTAGTGATTCACTGAAATGACTCAGAGTACTTAGATAAGTTATTATATTCATGGTTGTGATAAAAAGTAGACAGTAGAAAGATACACAATAAAATCAGCAAAGGGAAAAGACCTCTGTGATGAAATTCAGGAAGAACTAGACCAGCTTCCAAGTGTCTATTCTTCTGGCTCCTGAGCAACAGCAGCCATTTAACATAAATTGTACTGTTAGCATAAAATACTTAAACTGGCACACTGTGGCCCAAGGCCTCAGCGATATAAAAGAAAAAAAAAAATCCTATAAGGCAGAATGTTCCAAGGTCTCACAGCTCAACATTGAGAAACCAATCAAAGGCTAGTTCTAAAAAACAAAATTTTTCTAAGGAATGTGCAGAATTTGAGAACCCAGAGTGGGCGGGGGTGCGGGATGGGGTGGGGGACTAACCCTTTACTCCACAATCCATCTCCCTATCCATGGACTGGTTCTTTTATTGAGTAATAATTTTATTTTTCCACACATTTATTTAACATATACAAGAAAAGTATCAGCATCAATATTTGGAGTAGTCAATGTGAAGTTTGGAATGAAAAAGAAATAACTAATTCATTCTATAAAATAATTATAGACATTCTCATATTTTGATATTTACTGATTACTTGCTTTCCTGTCTTGATTTACACTTATTTTCACCTGGAGATAGTTCTGCCCCAAACTATAAAATGCAGAAATTAGCTGATAGTTAAATCCAATTTTTCCTCAGGCTAGTAATTTTCCAGCATTATCATGTTCTGAGAAGATTTTAGGTCAATCTTCAATTACATTATATCATTCATATCAATATTATCATATGATTTGTAAGATACTTGATATGATTTGTACGTGAATCTTACCAGTAATGCTAACATACAATAAGGCAATATGCTCATGACAAGTTTGAATTTTGTTACTGGAAAAATGATTAAGAATTGCAGAGGCATTCACTATGTCTTCCCAACAAAATTGATTTTTGTTCACACACCACATATTGTGTGAATAAATGTCATCAAAATTGGACATGATTCAGTTATTTCTAGATTCCAAGCAAGTTGGGGACAAAAGTGGTCACCTTGTCTTAGTTCAAGGGCTCGTACTGAGACTGGTTTCCACTGAGAGTTTCTAATGCCCCCCCCCCCAAATTCATGAATCTGTATGTTCACCTCAAGGAAGTATACCAAGATATTCACTGGCCAGTTCCAGTCACATTCCTGTCCTAGAAAGCAATTCTTCAAATGGACTTTGCCATGGCATACTTTAATGTGTCTTTTGAATTTTCATGGTGCATTCCACAGGGTCATATCTCATACAGGCCTCTGTCAAATAATCTACATTTTAAGTTTCTCACCTGCTTAAACATATGGTCAATCCATTTGACAATATCTAAAAGTCACTATACAAACAAATATCAGGACTTTTATGGAATATTAGTTTTCCCATTGTTCCATCTCTGATATCTAGTGCAATGAGCTTATCTATTACATTTTTCAATCATAGTTTTAGATTAATTAGTAATAACATGTCAACTTCCCATATGGGCTGATGTACATCCACATTGGATCTGCCGTCTATAAACTTAATAATGCTCTCTCTGTTGACCAACTGAATATTTTGAGTTGTCAACTGAGAACTTTCCACATCGCACTGCCTTCATTGTAGTGAGTTGTGATAGTTCCTTAGGTGATCCAAAAATTGACCTTGGAGGGAACAAAATCTATCAGCTCATGCATACAATGATTGCCCCCTTCAATCCCTTCACAGTAATATATTCTTGTATACATTTTTCATTTCACTGTGGGATTCTTTGGGGCATTTTATTCATTATTAAGGTGTTCCTGACAATCCAAGACTTAGAGGATTTTCAGATTTCAATATTATTTTGTGTCTCCCACTCATATAGGGAGTTCCCATTAATTGCCAATAATCAACAATTAATTATTTCTAAAATGCAATACCCTAACACAATAATAGAAACATTTCTGGTACAAAAATCCTACTGTATATTCCTAGTCATCACTCAAAAGCTTGTATCATAAACATCTATCTTTATAAGGTGCAAGTTATAGATACTTCCAAATAAAACCTAAGTGTGGATCAATTCAGATATAGTTGCTATTTTTTAGGATCAAAGTTAAAAATTTTCTTTTTACCTATTTTATAGGTTGCTCCTAACATTATTCCCAGGGATGGAATATACATCCTTCAAACTACAAGGAACTCAATTATGCCCTGTACTTTTTGCTTTTCCAAGTGTGAGATCAAGGTAAAAACGTGCAAGATGAGTCACTGAATACCCGTCTCCTTTAGTTTTATTTTTCTTTGCACATTAAAATCATATTTCCTTGTTTTGGGGTAAGATGGAAAAGGGAAAATGTTGGTCAAAATGTTCAAATTTTCAGTTGTAAATTCTTGTGATCAAATCCACAGCAAGATGATTATGGTTAATAAAACTATTATTCTTAGGTATGAGGTCATAAATATTCTTAACACACATGGTGACTGTGAAATTGTGGATGTAGAGTCAATTGAAATTTGACTGTGATAATTTCAGAATATGTGTGTTTATCAAAGCATCATATTGTATACACACTTATCAAAGATGTGCTTAGATGGTCCAACTTTATTTAAGCCTTGATAATCCACTGTCAAGCTCTGAAAGGAAAACTTTGACCTGTTACTGTACTACACTAAAACACTGCATTGGTTAGCCTACTTCTCAGCAATTCTGGAAAAATACTAGTTTTCTACATACATATAACATTTCTGATTCCAAATATGAGTTTTTTCCCACACCAATAAATTCTCCAATATAAATTGTGTAGCCTCCACTTTCTTCAATTTTGGGACTAATTTTCTAGAGTTAACCCAAACTGCACAGTTTAAGTCCTCAGTATCTCAGAGTGCCTCTGACGTCAGACACCAAATTTAAGTGATGAGTCCCCAGTGTACTCAGAATCTCTGCCCAAGTTGCTTACAAATTTGTGGTTCCCAAACACAGGTAAGTTGTTTTAATTCATTTGTGTAAACCTAATCAAAATCTACTATATTTCTCCAATTCCATAAAAACGACCATCTTGCTGGAGTAAGTGCCTTGACTATACATTTGTCTTTCCATGATTTGGTGAATCACTCTCATTTTAGCAGCATGTATCAGACCCATATGAGGAACCAGGAATAACAAATCTGATCTTCGATTGTAACTTGTGTTGCAGTAACAAGCTTTCATGGAAGGCTCATACAACACAGTTCTCTTACTTGGAGTTTACATGAGTTGGGTCAAGTGTTTATCAGGGCGATGGATATCTAGATCATTTGAAGACTAGGCCATGCACAAAAAGCGTATCATTTTGGCTTGCACCAAAGCATATCATTCTACACACTTCATTGTCAACAAACTTCACAGTGACTTTATTTTATTTTATTTATTTATTTTTTGGTACCGGGAATCGAACTCAGGAACTTGCGCTTGCGAGGCAGGAGCCGGAACCACTGAGCTAAATCCCCGGCCCAGTGACTTTATTTTATGAAAAAATTTTTTAAAATTTCATAACAAAATAATAAGAGAATAACAATAGCTAATAGACTATGTATCATTATCTTCAAAGTGGCTACTCGAAGTATAAAATGTAGAAAAGGCCGTCTTGGTCGCTGAGCGGATAGCTACATGATGATCCCCCGGGAATTTCTTCAGCCAAACCCAGTCTCCCTGCAGCAGAGAGGATAGGGTTTTGGAACTCAGTCTCCTAAAATCCCATAAGGCAAGAAGCTTAGAAGCCCATATTTCCATTCATCCATTGTCCTAGAACACTTCTCACACGTGACAGAGGGCACCAGGAGTGAGGAGGTTGTTATCTGTCTGCTTCACAGCTAACTGGGGGCTGCTCTTCCTGAGTCTCATCTGAATTGGGTGGAAATGCTGAGGAGGCAGGTCTAGGTGCTCCCAACATGGCAGTTCCTCCTAGGGCCCCGCAGAACCCAGGGACTTGGGCATCCCGGACATGGCGGGCCACAGCAGCTCCGGACACCCAGCCACCACCAGAGGAGGCCCGGGCTTCCACCACGCCCTCAGCCAACAAGAAGATCGCGTCATAGATTGTGCCAAAGAGCGGGGAAACCTGCAGAAGCAGAGGCCTCCCGGGCTCCAGACAGGTCCGATGGCTCCATGGAAGTCACCAAAGCAACCGGCAGGCCCCGGGCCCTGAGTGCGGTAGACAGAGCATGTCCCGCCTCCACCCACAGGTCCTGGGGGGCGGTGACCAGGGCCACGCGAGCCCAGCGGAAGCCTCGAAGGAGGACGTAAAGAGCATCCGCGGCGGGGGTCATGGCCGGGGCCGTGGTGCCCACCGCCCGCGCCCCGGGGCAGCCCCAGGGCACGAGCGCGACCCCAGCCTCTTGGGCTAGGAGCTCAGCTGGCCGGCAGGCTGCGGGGTTCACGGGGCCCACGAGACCTGAGACTCGGGAAAACGCAGAGGACACTGCGCCCAGCGACCCTGGCGTCCGACACGGCTCCTGCAGCAGCGCGACCTCGAAACGCGGGCCGCCTTGCCGGGCAAGGTCACGGTTCAGGCGGGCGGCGGCCAGACGCGCGGCCAAATCCGGACGCGCCCGGGCGAAGATGGGGTCGCAAGTCCAGGGCCCCAGCACCCCCACTTTGAACACGGCAGAAAAGGCAGAGGGCGGCGGGAAGAGTAGCAGGAGTAGAAACCGGAGCATCCCGGGCCAGGGCAGGGCCCGCGGGAGGTCGGGCGTGGGGCGGGCGTCGGGGAGCCCACCCGCGTGGAGGGCGCGCACGGTCATCGCCGGCTTCTGCGAACCCAGACCCGGAAAATGAGCGACTGAGACCCCCCAGAGTTCCCGTAGGGCTCTCCCCCAAACTTGTTTCTCAAAATCCGCTTAACCAGTGAGGTGTCACCGCTTCCAAAGCCCCCTCCCCAGGCCTGCGCGACTAGATGGGGGCCAAGAACGCGGCCTACAGGCCCCCTTCGGCCTCCCCTGCCAGCAGTTGCCAACCTGTTTATCCTCCTCCACCACTTCTCCCCCCGCTCCTGGGTCGGTGTCTTCGAGGAAGCTGGAGACAGGCCAAGCCCACACCCGCCCTCAGACTGGACCCGAGGCCAAGGAAAGAGGCCTTTGCACTCACCGAAAAGTCTGGGGCTCAGGCCCAGGGCCAGGGTAAGGAGTCCCAGGGTCGATCCCCTTTGTCTTCCTGCCAACCTAGCCCAGGGCGGGGGTGTGGGAACAGCAGGCAAGAACCTTTAATCTCCCCAAGCTGATTAGGGTTCCTTAATCAGGCAGGGACAGGCAACAGGCGACAGGCGCCTAGTGGAGGATGGAAGCCCTTGGTATGCTTCTCTTCTTCGTTGAGATCTGGGTCTGTCCCTCTTCCAGGAAGCCAGGAGCTGATAGGGGGTGGGGGGTGGGGTGGTGTTTAGAATTATTCCCAATCTCACACCATACACAAAATCAATCCCAAATTAAAGACCTACATATAAAAAACTTTTTTTAAAATGGTACCTTAGTAGGGATTGAGTCTCCAGGGCCTTTGCATTGAATTACATCTCCTCTTTTTTTTTTTTCTTAAATTCTTTTATTGGTACATTTTAGGTATATAATAGATTTACGTTTATCATTGGGAACTTGCACCTTTAAAAAAAATGTAGAAAAAAAAGATTTTCTTGTACAAACAGGTAACAGGTAATAACAGAAAATTTTCTATTCAATAAACTAAGAGAAATTAGAATTAATGAAACAAATTAGCACATGTATTAAAATAATTTTGAAAAAATAGAGTAGACAATTTAGGGAATTAATTTCTCCCTATTTCCTATTTATCTATGTGCTTTTTTGACCTTTATTAAGTTTCTCATATAAGAGAAACTGAGTGATATTTAAGCTGGTGTGTTTGACTTATTTCATTTAACATTATGTTCTTCACTTGCATCTATTTACCTACAAATGCCTCAAGCTTATCTTTCTTTATGATAGAGTACGTGTATAAATATCACATTTTCCTTATCCATTCATCTCTTGATGGACACATATGCTGTTTCAGTGACCCACCTTTTATAAAATGTGCTCCTATAAGCATGAGTATGGATGTATCTCTGTAAAATGGTGATTTTAACTCTTTTGGGAAGATAACCTAGAAGGGGGGTAGCTGGATCAAATAGAATTTCTATTTTTAGTTTTTTGAGAAATCACCACAGTGATCCAAACTACCATCTGGCAGCCCCTTCAGGAATAACTCAATTTGGTTTGGAACATATACGTTCATTTAAAATTGTTTAATAGTTAGCTGTGTATCCCACACCAGGCCAAATATGCTCCTATATTCAGTATTCCAAATCAGGAATACTTATCCAAATTTAGACATTTTCACAATCTATTTCAATAAAGGTATTAAGATGCTAAGAATGTAAAAGCATGATATAGGTGAAATACATGTTTGTTGAAAATAAAGGAAGGATTTTTCCTTTAACATAGTTTGGAAATATGATAAATGATGCAAAAAAATAGTGCTTCCCCTGCAGTACAACATACTTTACAGGCATATGAAACATAAGATCTAAATAATTTTATGGTTTTCTTTGTCTTTGTATACACTTACATAGGTAAATGTCAATGAATATGGATATAGATTTAGATATAGATGATTACATGGAAGAAACATATTAAATGTCAAGAGATACATACGAATGAAGACACTGGGACTTCAAATTATGGGATTTGCTCTATCTGGGATAGTGAGAATCTCCCAAGAATTGTGAGCATTTCCCAAGAAATGAGAATATAAAGAAGTAAGAAATCTCGATCCTTTATTATATTTTGCTGGTTAAGATTAATAGTTGGCCTTTCTTTTACACCTTTTCTTTTATACCTTGAATATTTTGTTGTAAATTTATCACTTATTAAAACTTTATTAAGATTTTTAAATTACTGTATTGTGAGAAAGTATCCACAGCAATATGTTGTCTCCAAAGTAGGATCGAGAACATTAAGGAAAACCAATTGTTCTAGGAATTGCTGCCATCATATGAAGTTTTTTGACAATACGGGCACAAACAAACTGCAACATATTAATGTCAGAATGAAATAATTCAGCAACAGCTTGTAGCAAGGAGGCAAATGAACACAAATAAACTTTATTTTAATGTATTTGATAATCATTTAGATATCAAATATGTGTCATATTATGGTCAGGCTGGTGAGGTGCTTTAAAATTTATAAATACACGTGATGGCACATACACACCTAAACTGGTAAGATACTAACATATACTTGTTAAAGGCATTATTATCATAAAAATTTCATCATATAACACCATTTTTGCATAATTGTATAAATTTTAAATTTATCTTTAAGTATGATTTTATTATTTTTCATATTATATAGGCATACTTCTTACAACATACTGTTCAGAAGAGCAAATTTTTACATTGTAAAATGTCATCTCCTGCTAAGTAATTATAAAATCAACCCATTAGTTATTTTCCCATAAATTTGTTAGCATCTAGGTATACAAATGAAACTAATTATATTTAATTAATATGCAAGTTAAGGAGTCATAAAAATGCTTACAAGTGTTGAGGTGCCATAAATTTGAAGAATAA